TACAGGCCCGGTACTAACTTGATTCCCTACAGCTACCCTAACTGCGGATAGCAGGCCCGGGCTACCCCTAGACAGACAGGCCCTATGGGCCTATTCTGAATAGACAGTCCTATAGCCTATAGCCGGGTCTGGTAGAGGCCGAGAGGCCGAAACAGATACGGTACCGGTCTGTCAGTCAGTCCGGTCTAGGTCGGTGTAGGCTAGAAGTAGGATGGGCACATCGGTTCAGGGCTTTTGGCAGTTGGTACCGTGTACATCGCTGTTGCGCTACTCGTGAACCAGAAGTGGTGACGGCTCAGCGTGGAGGAAGACGGGCATAGCCAGACCATCGGAGTGCAGGCCATAGCTGGGACCTGCGCTGTACTCTGCCAGCACGCAGGGGCTGACAGAGGTCTGGGTTATCGAGGTCTGCTGGAGGCGAGAGAGATTGGTGCCCTGCTGGACCCTCCTCCGGAGTGGGGTCCCAGAGGGTTTGCGCTGCAGCCATAGCTGCAGCTTCTTCATCTCAGAGGTCATCTGATCARGGYTTGGTGGCGCTGCTGCAGGCTTCCACCCGRGAAGCCTCCCGACACTTCGTCATCATCAGATAWTGTGGTGCTGGTCTTCTTCTTYATCCTCTGAGTGGCGCTTGGCCTCAGAGGCCTGTTTCAGGGTGGCGCTGYCCCCAGGAGTCTGTATTTGGGTGGCGCTTGGTGTTTCAGGGCTYAGGGGGTGTTCCGGGGGTTAATCAGGGTTGGAGAGTGAAGCGTTGCTCAATTATGAGCAGCGCACTGTAGTTCTGGAGTAATCCCGACATTTCGAGACTCTGAGTTTAATAAACAGTGTGTAACTGTGTTTGGACTATCATCGTTTCATTGTTTCCTGGATGTGATCTGCTCGACTTTATGACTGGTTGTGAGGATTGAATGGAGTGAATTGCACTTTCAGTGTACCCTGTCATATCGCATGGACAAGTCTTCCGCTGTGTTTATCTCTCCCTGTGCGGTGTGATACTCCTATCCTCTCCCCTTCCTTCTGTGTGTATGGGCATGTGCAGAAGTTTATGTGAGTGAGTGTTGGCCTTCAGGCAACGTACAACCAGAATCATAACAGTTGGTATCGGAGCAATTGGATCCAGACTCTGGAGCGATTGATGACTTGGAGCACCCATCATCACCTGGCGAGATACTGGAGTTGGGTTTCATGGCGATTCATCATCTTCAGGGTTGTTGTCAGTAGGGTGGTGGTTGTGAGTGTGTGGCGAGAAGCAACAGGCAGAGGGTGACACACTTCTGGCTAGGGTTATGCAGGAGTGAGTGGCGATTGATAATCCATAGGCCCAAAAGGCTCTGGGAGGCTAATAATAGCCTGGCGATTCACCTGGAGGTTGGCGATTGTCAGTGAAGTGATCCCAGGAGGTTGCGATTTTGGAATTGGGTCAGAATCCCCAATTTCCAATCAGCGCTGTACAGGGTGATGTGGCGCTGTACTGTCTGGAGCACTTATCGGCACCTGGGAGTCCAAATTCATTGAATCTGTCAGTTGGAGGTGAAGCGCCTCAGGGAATTCTACTGGATCACCAAGTTTGGAAGAATTTTGTACGTGGGAACACTGTATACTATCAGGAGGTGAAACTGGCGAGATAGGGTTGACTATTCAGCCATAGCCAAGATTTCAAGCATCTTCTTCAGAGTTGACCCTGAAGTGAGTGTGTTCCTTACTCTATCTTGTGTGGCGATTCTAGGGCTATTTGTAGGACAGAGAAATTTGGTTTGGCTGTCAGGTGACAGTTGAAAATCGAAATTCAGACTGTGGGACAGCCATATCCAACTTCTCCTACCTATCTTCTTTGACCTCTACTAACCCTGTTTGACCTCCCCTCTGACCCAAATTTCATCTGCTACTGCTGTACAGTGTTACGATTCATATGATACTGTGAATTGGATTGTTCAGGGCCAGTTTGTCGGTGATACTGCAAATTTGAATTATGCGCTGACATAGCCAAAGCTATGGTAGACTAGGGTCAGTCATAACTTTGATTCTGCCCGTCAGAATTCAGTTTTGTCAGTCCCTGGTAAATCGCAATTCAATATTCTATCAGTGTCTGAAATCGCACAGTCAGATTTGATGTTTTGAGTCAGTTACAGTGTTTGCTGTAATTCGCCATACCCCCAGTATGGCATCCAGGGTCATACAGTGTTGATGTCAACAGGGTAGGTCTAAAAAAAAATAGCTTTTCTTGGAAATCGCTGCATCTTGGTCATCAGTAGATACCTATCTAACCCTAATTAGTCACTCTGTCCGATTACTAACCAACACTAATTAGTCCGAGACTGCATCCTGTCAGTTGTTGATCTAGGATTTGCAATTATTGCGTGCAATTGTTGAGTCAGGGCAGGGATGGAAAAATCGTGAAATTGGTTTTTGCCTGAGTGGACTCTGAACTGACCCTGACCCTCAAGCGGTCTGCTGAGACTGAGCACTCACTTGCTCAGATTGACCAATCTCCTCTCTCCAGGCAGGTGACAGCACTTGGATTAGTACTGCAGGGAACATCCAATTCCTGTTACCTCCTGTCTGTTTTTGATTGTCATTTGTTGTTTGTTTATCTGTCTGTATTGTGGGGCGCAAGATGGCGGAATCAGGGAAGGCTGAGGGAGTTGAGAGTTCTGGGGAGACACCTCAGGTAAAGCTTGAGATGAAAGTGCAACCTGTAACACCTGTACCGCCTGACCCTTTAGAGGCTGAACTGCGGGCCCAAGAGGAGAAACTCCGCTTGCAGACCCAGGCAATTGAGAACCTAAAGGCAGAGCTCAAGAGGAAGGAAGAGTATACCCAGAAGGAGGCCAGAAGAAAAGTGTTGATTGGAGATATGCAGAGGATTATGAGCCTCGGTACGACCAGTCAGCCAAGTAAGGACATGGCAAAATTCATCCTTCTGCAGGATGAGATTCACCGGTCCAACTTTACTAACTGGGATGACCGAATCTCAGGTCTGGAGACCATCCATTCAGCTTTGTCAAAGAAGCCGGATGACATCTCTGCTCAACTGAACAACATTGCCAAACAGCTGCAGATTACCCCTGTTCAGACTGTTCCCCTCTCTTCTGGCCCTTCTGCAGCACCTGTCCCAAAACCCCCACACTCCAGACCTACATCCCCACCTCTTACACCCAAGTCACCAGCACCCTCTCAGTCCTCAGCCCCATTTGAGCCGCAGCGGCCCAAGCTAACCCCTCCACCAATGTTCTCAGGAGAAGATCCTAAGGTGGATGTGGCAGATTGGGTGACTGCGCAGCGAACCTACCTGAGTGGGTTCAAATGCGACGAGAATGTGAAGGTGTCAGCCATCCTGCCACGGCTGGAGAGGACTGCACTTAAATGGTGCACCTCCACCTCCAGCAAGCAGGGGATGGAGATGGTTGATTGGGCGCAGAGGCTGGGGGTGGCTGGATTTCTGCAGGCCCTGCAGGACCGGTTTGCAGACAAGGAGCAGGCAAGAAAGGCTGCA